TTACTGGTTTAATGGTTTCCTTGAGTTATATTTTCAAAGTATTAAAATGATTATTGGTGAAGAAGTGAAGAGAATGCAGGAATGCGAAGTACCAAATTACGTGAAAGAATAGTAGTGTATTTAGTTTGAATCTAAAATAGTTATGCTGTTAAGAAGTGCTAGTAGATCTCAAGCACACTTATAGCTAGAATGGAATTGTAACAGTTCTATAGGTATAGAAGCTCAGGCATGGTGATGGTGAAAGAATTGCCAGTGTAACAAATAACATTTAGAGTAAAACGGAGAAGGAAGTCCAGATGCTAATACGGTATCCTCAAAATATTCTGGTGCAAAAGAGTTATTTTTTTTGTACAGAAATAGTTGGAATTATTAGAGGTTATTATTTGCTGACTCAAGCCAGCCTAGAGTCACAGAACGGAGTCAAGAAGTTGCCCTGTAGGTGGGCTAGAAGCAACCCCATCATTCATTAGGAGAAATGGTTTGCCTCATGTCAAACCTCCAAAATGAGTGTTCCTTGTAGCCTCTGACTCTTTGGTACTCATCATGCCTCTGGGCTGCAAATAAACATATCAAGGTGATTATTTATACTTATTTTTCAGATACTTTATGGTTCAATTGTACTATTGTGAGGACACGATGTATACCATGACGCTGTAATGTAAGAACACGCTCAGAGGTTAAGGCACAGTACCTTTTTCTTTCCCTGATTAGTATTCTTTTAAAGAGCACTGTGGTGGCATGTCAAAGTTGTTAGCACTGGGGTTTTTTTAAGCACTTTGAAGTTTGCTTATTTATTCTTGGAAGAGAGAGAATAAACGTTAGGATATCAGTAGACATTTGATCCTCATCACAAGATTGAGCTGCAATTGAAAAGAATGGGAAGGTGTGTCAGAGTGAACTGGTTATGGATGATTCAAGAACTGACACTTCACAAGTACTTTGTTAGAGTTATACACTGTGATGCTTCTTAAAATTGTTTTTCAAAGAAACACTAAGGAAGGTGAGAAACAAATAGCCCTGTTAAGTCTCTCAAGAGGTCTCCAGAGAAAAGACGACAAAAACCAGCCTGCATTTCGGTGTCAGGGCTCTTTACTTTTTGACTTCTCTTAAGCTACTTTTATTTTCTAGAAAGCTTGTGATATCTGGCTGACTTTTTCTTTGGGTTACAATCCCTTATTGTTGCACAGAAATCTATGCCTCCTAATGAGCAACTATTGATAAGAAGTAAGAAACATGACTGCTAATTAGAATGGTAGCAAATGATCTCTTGAGCATTAAATTAACCAATCAGAAAAAAAAATGGAATAAGGAAACAGGTATTTTAAATGTCCCAGCCCAGAGTCTGCTCTAGACAAAAAGACTTGAAGTAAGTTAATTGGTATCTGAAAGGTTGTCATGTATTAGCATCCAGTTAATTGGTTACAAGGCAGGGATTAACAGAGAGTCTTCCAGGCCTTTAAGGTAAAAAAAGAAAACCTAATATGTTCCATTTAACTGATTTCATGAACAGTCACTTTACAGGAACTTTCTTTTTCTTGTGTACATTCTCAGAGATAAGAAATGTCAGGAGCAGAACTATTTTTTGGAATCACTTTCTCTTTACTAACAGTTATGATCTTGAATCATTTTATGTAGCAACTCACATACCTACCATTCCAAAGCTTGGTTGTCATTCTTGGTGGTTTTGTGGTAATGACAGCATTGGCTTTTGCCCTAAAATGTCATAATCTGATGTAAATTGCTTACAATTCTTTTAATAAACATAATGCTTCTTAAAATCATGTTCAAAAATAAGACAAAACTAAAAAGCATGTTTTTCTTATTTTGACAAGGTGGATAAAATCAGTATGATGAACACTTCCTGGTTTAGATGCCTGTGTGTTCGTACCTGAGTAGGTGGCCAGTTTTTCCACAAATGGATATAATTTTCCTGGTCACCGAAATAAACATTAGGAACCTATTGCTTGATTTCTCCAAAGCTTGGCTTTCATATTTTTGTTGGAATTCTTCCATTTCTTTGTGGTTTTCTTCAGGTCCTAATCCTCTATCTCTCTAATTTTTGAATAGGATTTGAAGAGGAAGCTGCCCAGTGAGCTCATTTTCACAGTTCAGCTATCTCATTATGATTGTCTGTGGCTGCAATTCAAAGATTTTTACAATTTTCAGAGTTTCCAAAAAAAACCCAACAAAAACTGGTGAAATGGATCGAATTACTGCATGTGATAGATTATTTTTAGCTTTGATATCAGCTTTTCTCATTTCTTATGGAGCTATAATTAATTTCATTACTGTTTTTAATTTATTCAGCTGTCTTAAATATCCACTATGCACACACTGAAAGTACAAACATGAAGTTAAACTTCTCCCTGGATGACAATAGCACATTAATTCTTGTCGTATTTTAACACTGATTGATTTTACTGCTGATTTGCTTCAGAGTATACCCATTAATACATACCATTTTATAATATTTGCTTTCTTTAACTACATTGCATCTGAATTAAGAAAAATAGCTAAATTATTAATTTAGATTCAATGATTAAAAATTGAATTAGAAATAGCTTGCTTACAGCAACTGCTCAAGGTCCAAGTATAAATGGAGCTTATTAACGTTACTGTAGTGGGTTGACCTTGGCTGGATGCTGGGTGTTCACCAAAGCCACTCTATACTCCCCTTCTCAACTGGGCAGGGGAAAGAAGTGTGATGATGGGCTTATGGGATAAGATAAGGCCAGAAAGAGATCACTCACCACTTACCATAAAAGAGAAAACAGACTTGACTTGAGGAACTTTAACATATTACCAATCAAATCAGAACAGATTAAGGAGAAAAACAAAATTAAATCTTAAAACATCTTTCACCCACCCCTGTCTTCTTTCCAGACTCAATTTCACTCCAAAATTTTCTATCTCCTCCTCACCAAGTGGAGCAGGAGGATGGGGCAGTTCATCACATGTTGCTTCTGCTGCTCTTTCCTGAGCTGGGGGAGGACTCCTCACACTCTTCTGCTCCAGCTTGTTGTCCCACCCGGAGGACAAGGTTCTCCATGAAGGTCTCCACCCTGAGTCCTTCCCACAGGACACAGTTCTTCATTAACTGCTCCAGAGTGGGTCCCTTCCACAAGTGTAGTCCTTTAGGAACAGGCAGCCCCAGCATGGATGTACCATGGTGTCACAAGTCCTGACAGCTAACCTACTCTTCATGGGGCCAGAGGTCCTGCCAGGAGCCTGCTCCCTTCAGGCACCCACCTGCTTAAGTGTGAGGCCCTCCACGTGCTGCAGGTGGATATTTGCTCCACTATGGTCTTCAATGGGCTGCAGGGGGACATCCTGCCTCAACATGGTCTTCACCATTCTGCAGGGGAATCTCTCCTCTGGCCCCTGGAGGACCTCCTCCTCCTCCTTCTTCACTGATCTTGGTGACTGCACAGCTATTGCTCTCACATATTCTCATTCCTCTCACTGTCTGTGATTGCATAGACTTTTTTTCTCCCTTTCTGAAATAAGTTATCTCAGAGGTGCTACCACCACTGCTGATAGGCTTGTCAGTGGGTCCATCTTGCAGCTACATGGCATTGGCTCTGTCAGACACGAGAAAAACTTCTGTCATCTTCTTACAGAAGCCATCCCTGTAGCTTCCCCACTACCAGAACCTGGCTATGCAAACCCAGTAGGATCACTCATAAAAGGTGTTTCCTAAATGGCTCTCCCTGGGCACACAGAATAACTACATTGCTGTGCAAGTTTTTCTTGCACATAGGTGCCTATCAGTCCTCAGGGGATGGGTCAAAACAGTGACAGTGTCTGTGCTGTAACTGGAGGTGTGCTTGTAAATTGTGGGCATATTCTAACTTGCTTTATTTTGTATACTATGTATACCATAATGTACATGTGAACTTTGGTTTGGCAAAGGTGAATACTCAGTGCAGCAGTCTCAAGTATTATACTGGGACTGTGAAGCTATGCAGACTTGACAGAGGTGTAATAATATATAGACATATACACTACCTTTCTAATTCTTCATTTAGATGTGGAAAATATTTAGACTATTCAAGTATTCAAGGCAAAAGGTGCAGATACTGCTATCTGTGCTGGGTAATTTATCAGGCAATGGTAAAAGACTTTGTATAGGACATGGAGGAAAAAAGACAGTATTTTCTGATTATTGCAACAGCCTTCTCAGAATACCAGTTCTCTCAGAAAAGTAATTTTTTTGAGAATTTTCTCTGGCAATGCTGAGCTGTTTCTTAAAAGTTCTAAAAACTTCCAGAACAAATTTTCTCCCCTTTGAAATCATTATCAATTGGAGTTTTCTTTACTGAATTGTCTGTCATTTTTCCATGACCCAGAGAATGTTACTATAGCTTCAGATGATTAAATTGAAAACAATGTTTATTAATGATTAAACGTAAGATTTCACTGGGGCTTGACCTTCAGAGGTTCTAATTATTCAATGTTTCTAAGCACTGCAATCGTTGTTTTAAATACTCATCTCTTACTATTAGCATGAAATTACTGTGAGGAAGAGAGAAAGAAGGGAGTTGGGACAGCTCAGAATATTTAAGGTGAATTTCCTCTTGGTTTTAGTCTAGGTCTATAGCTTCAAATCTCTTATACTATTATTTTTAAATTTTATTATCAGTATTTGGACTCTCAGTTCTTCAGAAAGGTAGATATCTTGTAGGTAAGCATGCATATTGTGGCAAAGAAATTTGTCTAAAGCAGAGCACTGTTTTTCCCTGTAGAAGTATAAATAAATATTTCAGGTATCAGAATGCTAATCTCATCATAAAAATGTTTTCTCTTTGCTTTTAAAACCCAAAATTATTTAAACCCTTGAAATGTTTTACTATATTTTGTAATTCTTTTTCATTTTCTCAATAATTACATTAAAGTACAAGTAATATTTATAAGAAATTAGGCTACGGAAAGGAATTAAAAGAGTTATCAAATTAGCTTTATTTTCTTATATGGTGCCTATTTTTTTGCCTTCATCATAGGTTTCAGAAGAAACTCTGCAACACAACACTAAGGACGAGGATTTTTCCCAAGGAATGGAGCCCTATCTTGTGCAGAGATTATTGTCCTGTAACATCCAGCTTCCCTCCCTAGCTTTCAGGCAGTTAGAACAGGCATACTGGGATAAAAAGAGTGATACTGAGACTATCCCAAGACCCATGACTCTTCCACTGAGGATACCTCCTCTGATTGCTGTTACAGCTGCTGAGTCCAGCAGGTAAGATACAGCAACTTGTTCTTGATTCAACATTTCGGCTGGCAGGTGCAGGACATCAGATGTTGCTTCTAGGACAGAAGCATATTCCTTTTCTAAATCCCCTAAATGAAAAAGAAGAATAAAATGTACATAAATTTGTGCCTGACAGTTCATAATACTGTTTGTAAACTTCTTGGTCATGTCTAGTAAAACAAATGCTACAAAATATTTTCTCTGAACATTATTAATACTTTATATTCTGAAAGAAGGCTTCTGGAGGCATGATTAACCTGATGATGATGATGATGATGATGATGAATATAGGAGCTTCTTTATACACAGATTTTTCTTTTTAAATGATGCAGTTTCAAAACTAGTTTCAAGGAATCCTGAGAGGATTTTGCCTGCTCTTGTATATCTACGTTATTAGTAATGTAAATGGTTTGAACTTATTTGCTTATAGTGACTTGATTATAGTTTCTTTGTATTACATCTGTGACTTCTTTTATCATATATGTTTTCTAGAATAAACTTTACTGTTCTTAAATTTTCTGATAACATCCTAATTTTTGTTCTTATTTTCCAAAATGTGAACTGTTTAGTATGAAGTTGTGGCTTACAATGGTGAAGGCAGCGCCGCATTTTGGTAACCTGATAATATATATAAAGAAAAGGTGAGATGAACACACTGAGAGTTGAAATGCAGTACTTAAGAAATTTTAGACATAAGTTCACTTAAGAAATTTTAGACATAAGTTCAGAGAGAATACCGTATTCTACATTATATAGTTATGTAAATAATGTAGGACTTGTAGTACATGAGGAAACCCATAAGTATTCATTAGGGTGCATAGTCAAAAAGCTAGCTAATATTAATATTAAATCTAGTATCACTTCCCATATCTTATTTCTATCTGGATATCTTTATTTTTGGAATAAAGAAGACCAGTTCTTGAAAGATGCTCATAGAAACACTGATGACAACCATAAAAGCATGTAAACATTTAGATTGTTTATAAATGAAAGTATTATTCAGAGAGGCAAATATAATGAAATTTAGTAAAGTTTTGATGATAGATTGGAATCTTGATTTTTTTTTTCTTTTTTGGTATCCATGGGTCTGGAGACAAGAGTGCTTTGAGATATGGAAGGAAAATAAGTATAGGTGCAATGCTTCTAGAACACTGACTGGGGAAAAAAAAGTATGCTCCTGATATGATAGAAAGTCAGAAAACTCAGAAAGCAGAATGAGAAACATTGACTGATGATAACAGGTAAGTGATTATAAATTTCTGGAGACTGCATTATTTTCTAGGCTGGATTGAAATACACTAGAGAAAGACAGTTTGAAGGTTATTCAAATAAATAATAAATCTAAAACATGCTGGTTACTATGGGTGGCTATCTGCTATACTCAGAGACTGATTGCTTCTACGAGAGACTTCTCTGTTGGTAAGAATCTCTCCTCAGCATTAAGACATAACTTTGTATCCTGTCTATGCTTTTACTCCTATGGTTGGTAGGAATGTGTTTTGAAACTGGACAAAACAAGATTTATTCTGAGAATGACAGGGAAACAGCAGACCTACAGATTGCTGAATGGAGCTGCCAGGCTCTTTAAACAAACAAACCGAAACTGAAAACAACAGCAGAAGCAATCATAATATTGATATTTCTTTGTAATATAAAATCTTTAGCTTTTATGATTGTTTCTTAGCTAAAGTGCAATTACAGTGTTACAGGAAGATTATTGTTCAGGAAATTAAATGTCTCTAGATGTTTAGTGACATTTTTCGTTTGTTAGCTCTCTCTCAAGCAGCTATGCATTTCCCAAATACATGCTTATAATGCCGGTCAAACAGCTGAAGAAAGCCATACTTTGGCTTCTTGTCTGTATGAAAGTACGTAAACTTAGGGGTCCTATTATGTCTGTGGAAATGCAGCTTACTTTCCTTGTCTTTGAAATGTGAAGTTGAGAGAAGGAAATCAAAGCGTGGGGGTGAGGATTCTCCGTCTTCAGTGTGTAAATAAAGGTAGAGAGCATTTGGGTCATAGAAACTCATTCTAAAGCAGAAGAATTTCACTGCTGAAAACATCTTAAATTACAGATGTTTGTTTTTGGAGGAATATGCTAAAAGATTCCAAAGACAGAATCTTATGCTGTGATTTAAATGACTGGAATGTACAAAATTAAAAACAATGACAGTGGATGTAGATTTTAAAATAAAACAAGAATTCTATTCCTAATCATGCACATATGCATGCATGTGTGCACATACGCACACTACCTTTTTTACTCTCCTTTTCTCTCCCTTTTTCTCTCTATTTATATCTTTTTGATGTCACAGGATTGTTTCTAGTTGTATGTTAGCTTTGTAGACTAATTCAAACAAAGCTTATATTTAAAACCAAACAAACCCCAAACAGCAGAGTAGATGAAAAACTAGATGAAAAACTAGAAAGCAAATATTCAGTAATGGTTTCTTTTTACTCTTTTACGCTTTAAAAACTCTTACTCTTCCAACATTGTCTTGCCATTCCTTTAGCCCTTCTAATTTATTTGCATGCACACAGGGAGCCAGGTTCTGATTTTTTTTTATCCCAGCTAAACTGAGACCATAATAAAGATCATTGTTAAGATGAAGAATTTATATCTTCTACGGAAGTTTCATGTGCAAAAATGTTAATGTGCTATAAACATAAGTGCTTGCAAATTGGTAAGCTGAGCCTGCAGCTGGTGGCATCCATTAAAATTATGAAATGTAACAATTGCCAGACCTTCTATGGAAAGGATTAGAAACAGGCAGACAATTGTTTTTGATATTTTAATTCTTCCTTTATTTTTACTATTATTTAATGAGCAAGATATATATCCTATATAAATAGAATATTAAATGTGGTATTTTATTGTAAGCTAGGGTAGCCTGGCTATTTGGGGTGTGGATGTGAACACACGCTTTGGCCAGTTTTCCTCAAATAACTGTAACTAAGTTTACCATCAGTTTTTATGTAGGTAAAGCTATGATGGCATTTAGGATGGGATGCGCGAATAAGAAAGGGCTGACAGCAGAATGCCTTTTTCCAAAGCAGTTGGTATTAAAATTGTGGGGGATTGTTATGTATGAAAACTTATTTGTTTGAAGAAATTTAAGGTATATATCTTACCTCTTTTGTAATAGCTATTTCAAAGAATTGACTTAAGATAGTCAATGAAATCTGAGAGTAATGATGGTATTGATTTGTCCAAAGCTCTGTGAAATATGATTAAAGTCTCTTCAGTTACCTTTGTTCTGGAAACTCTTTCTGCATTGTCTAACTCAGAAGAAGAGATGGTTAGGAGAAGATGGGACAGGATATGACACCTGTTGAACACTGTGAAGTGTGAGGGTACATATACTTATCTAACTCTCAGTGGTACAGCAAGGTATCAGGGACTGATGTATTTTTTGTTTTCCTTTCAATGAATAGCTTTTTCAGTGACAAAGGACTATCTCAGTTGTTGCTGTGTAACCTGTGTCCTCTTATCATATGTGACTGAATATAATAATAATGGCCAGTCTTCGCGAACGAAGATTTGGGGAAAGGTCTTTTTACCTTTCCAGCCTGCGCAATGGATTTTTTTAGGTGAGACACAGCCTGCGCTGAACTGAGCCCACCCTTTAATCCTAAGGTTCATCTGCCGGGGCCAAGCAAGCTTGGACAATGGCAGTGAGATCCTCAGGACGTAGGTTTGTTTAGAGTGACCTTCTCATAGATGGATGGCCTCACAGGGCTAACGGACTCCATCTGCCCGGGGGACTGGCTGGATTCGAACCTGGGTCGCAGAGGTGAGAGTCCTGCACGCTAACCACTAGGCCACCAGGGGTCCCGTGACTGAATATAATATGATGGAAAATGTCATGTTCGTTGCATGTAAACTCCAGAAATATAAGAGTATATCAAATACTTGAAGACTTCATTAAAAGGGTTATTTGAAAGTAAAAAGTTATGCTTAGAATGGCTTTCAGAACAAAATATAATGTGGTGTTTCATTCAGTTATCTGTAACTTGGTATATATAGTGTCTCTTCTTACTATTTATCCTCATCTTTGCTCAAATATCATTTGAGAGAGATTATTATAATTGTACAATATAAATTCTATTTTAAATTGGTTTTGTATTGCTTGTGTACAACTGAGAGTGTGTATATTACTGTGTTTATGAAACTCTAGGGAGCTACAAGAACCATTTACATGGCAGCTAATTTCTGAAGTATTTTTTTTACAATGTTTCTTCTGTCCTAATTTATGTTTTTTCTAAATTTGAATTATGTGGACTAGATAGTCACTATGCTGCTTAAAACTTTTGTGTTTTATTATCCACTAAAGAATCAATCAGATAAAAACTTCATTTAAAATTATCCCCAGACACTTTAACTTTTTAATATCTGGTTTTGAAAGGAAATATTAGCAAATTGTTATTAGCCTCATCACTGTAAGTTTGATACTATGGCACTACAGACTGAGAATCTAGTTTCAAACTAAATATGACTTAATGCCTACCACTTGCTTGCTCATTGTCTTTCCCCTGTCCGAGTAATACCTCAAAGACTAGATTTTGTCTTCTGTAGCTAGGGCAAGAAAAGCTTTTTCATATATTAGACAGCTGAAATATGTAAACCTTGAGCCATAATTTTGCAGTTATTCACCTACTATACCAATGAAGTATTTTTAAAACAACAGTTAGGATTCTAAATTTGGATTATTTTCTTAAGGAAATGAGCATTAGAGAGAGGTCCTGAAAGCAAAGATGTCTGACCTTAGCCGAGTAACATGCAATAAGAATAAGAGCTAGGAAAAGCTACTCTTCAGGTTTATTTATTTGCAACTCAATAGGTTAGTGTTTGCAGTGAAAATACGTGTGAACTATGATTTACATAGTTCTGAAAGACAGAGAGAGAAAAATCAGAAAATTTGCTATTTCATTTATTTTTAAATTCAGAATTATGATCTTGGGCCTGGAAAGCTGTAACTCTTCTCAGGAAGCTTCTCATGCATCTAGCCACTTTTCAACAGCAGCTGTGTTTCTTATCTCACCTGCCAGTTCAGAATAATGAAGAACAGCACAATGTTCTTAGTACTTTTATTGCA